TTATTCCCAAACTTCGGCAGAAGATAGAAAACGTTATCGCGAATTGTGTTCATTGCATCTTAATAAATCGCAAAGCAGGGAAAAAGGAAGGATTTTTACATCTGCGATTCAAGGAGGACATTCCGTTGCATACCTTATCATATAGATCACTTGGGTTCTCTGGAAAGTACCCATAAAAACTACAAGCACATATTAGTAGTAGTGGTCGACGCGCCTTTACTAAATTTACTTGGATTTATCCAACAAAATCTACGACCTCAGCCTGAAGGTGATAGCGAAGTTAGAGAATCAGAAGGCCATTTTTGGAAGCCCTTGTCAGATCATTTCTGATAGAGGAAACGGCTTTCACATCCAGTGAGTTTTCTGACTACTGTGCTAAAGAAGATATTAAACATTCATCTAATCACCACAGGCCTGCCGAGAGCAAATGGACAAGTCGAACGAATCAACCAAGTCATTATATCAGTGTTAGCGAAACTGTCCTTAAAAACCAACCGAATGGTATAAACAAACACACGAAGTTCAGAGAAATGCTCAACTCAACATATCAAAGAAGCATTAACACCACTCCGTTCGAATTACCTCTTCGGTACTAAAATGTACAGTAAGGGGCACCGATCAGCTCAAAGAACTGATAGAAAGTGAGTTTAAATCTCAATTCGAGTCTCAAAGAGAAGAATTACGAAAGCAAGCCAAGAAGGCAAATTTTCCAAGTCCAACAGGAAAATAAAAAGACATATAATGCCAAAAGAAGACAAGCACAGCCGTGTACAAAAGTTGGTGACTTAGTGGCAATCAAAAGGACTCAATTCGGACCACACTTAAAATTAAGAGCGAAGTATTTCGGACCTTATAAGATCAAGAAAGTTAAGGGTGGTAACACCTATGACGTAATAAAGGAAGGATGCCATGAGGGGCCCATATGCACTACCACATGTGCCGAATTCCTCAAGAAATGGACGGCGCTTTAAAATTTTTCACGAACACTGATTTCTGTTATTGTATATTCTTGCTTGTTGCTTTGTTTTTTTTTTTTGTTTGTATTTTGCAGTGTCCTGGAGGGCCAGTCCACCCTCGGATGGCCGAAAATGTAGTGCCGATCGCTTGGAGCTGTGATGAAAACTAGATGCCGTGACGTCATTCTCTCTACGAGCTGCGAAGGCGGCAAGCAAAAATTAGGGAATTACCGTTTTGAGATGATAGACAATTGACGTGGGAGCAGAGACGCTGCTTCTGTTCAAAAAGAACTTTGACGAATCATTACTTGTTTAATTCTCTTAAATGTTAAATTTATGTAATAATCGTTTGTCTAATTAAAATGTCTTTCATTAATTAATTTGTTCATCGTTTAAAATCCCCACATATATATGATGACTTTGCTCTATGCAAACAGGCAACCTGTAATTAACTTTCCGCAATTTCAGGAACTTCTCCTAGACCAGTACTTTCGAGAACATTCTGGCATGTTACATAATCGCTGCTATAAAAGAAGAGTTTGCACCATTTTTTGTCAGACTGCTTTTCTCTGCCTGCCACTGTAATACTCTTTGCTGCCGCTCTTCCTGTCTGTCTTTCTTTGTTTGAATAGTATGACGCAGTAAATTTAAAGTTAATCATATTCAATCTAAATTACTATTGCATATGTAATTTTGAAGAATCTAAAGGAATAATGACCTGCCATTTTAAGTGAATAAAGATATGGAGTTTTAAAAAATGAACTCTTTCGGTGTCATCATTTCTGCTGTAAGCCACTCAACCATGTCCGGATTTTGATGCCAAGCTTCATCATTTCCAATGCCGATCTACTGCAATTATCACACATATGTATATATGTTTTTAAAGATATAAATGTTACATTCTTTACAAGCTTGAATCAGGAGTGATGTTTTTTGCAGTAATTCATAAAATACTCTAAAATAAAGTAAATCTTCACATTCATATAATAAATTAATATTTATGTATGATTATATTATATTCATACATAAATTTATAAATTATAATCCATATATAAATATATGAATTTCATTAATTTTATTATGATGCATGAATATAACATTCTTTGTAAAAAATAGGGAGGGAGAAATATCTTTAGATTCTATGGATTTTATGTAAAGTTAATGAATTTTCATAAAATCTTCATTAATTTAAGGTTTTTTTTTACATAATATCATATTTTATACTGGCATAAAAATATTTCATTTAATTCTTTTAGTGACTGAAATTCATACAAATAATACTTACACAGCATTTTATTACCTTACTGTTTATATGTTAAACGTATTAATTATTAGAACTATATCATAAGTTTTTAGATCAACAGAGGAAATAAAAGAGTATATTTTTTAAGTGGTTGACTTGAATCCCTTCCATATGCCGCATTCTACTTTTCAAATTGCTAATTCATACACACAGTTTATAATTTTGCTTTTCATAATATGTTTTAAAATATTAAGATTATATATATATATATATATATAATAAAATAATAGAGAATATAAATGAAAATTATCTCTTAAGAAATGATAAGTGAAATTTAGAAAGCAAATGTGCACTATTGCGGTAATCATAAATTTTTCAGTATATTTCCTTTTTTGAGTTTTAAAATGTAATACCTTGTTAATAACTATATTACCATATAGGTCTATTTAGAAAAATATTCAGATTATTGATATATATCATTAAATTTTTTAGCTACATAAAAGAATAGTATTTATGCATTAGCACAAATATCTAGGCACAATTTGGTGATTTTGCAATAAAAGGAAAAGAATGATGATTTATAATAGTAAAAAATTAATCTATACAATCTTAATACATGAGATGATTTGGAAACAATGAAGATAAATGATGGGGTCATGCAAATGCGACAAGAAAAAGTGTGCACAGTTGTCTCATGTAAATGTGTTGTAGATGTATAATAGAAGCATAACAGAATGGTAAAACTTGCAGATATGGCCAGATTCATATTTTCTTTTATGGTTGACACACATTTTTATAGCCAACATAAAATAAATTAACTATAATAAGTGGGCCTACTCCAGAATATTCTACATTTTTGAAGAGAGGAGCTGTTAGCAGGTCTAGCTAGCAGGAGAAGCGGAAAGCTAGCACACCCTATTCCAGTGAAATACTAGTTAAAAAGGATTTGGGTTTTAGTTTACAATTAGGGTTACAGTTCTGAATTATCTGCATCATCAGCATTATGAAAAAGATGGAGAGGATGTATCCAAATTAAAATAGAAAATTATTGGACTACTACAAATTAATGTTAGTAATTTGCTTTTCATATTTTTTATGTTGCATGCATATTTTGCATTTTAATTAGGTATTTATCCTGAAAATCAACTAATAAACATGCTTACGGGTTTTTTTTCCTTTTATTCTGGTGGAAGTTTTGTAACAATCAATTTACAGATTAAAAGCAATTATTCCCTCAGCAATCCTGCAATACTGTATTCCTGTACAGTCAAAAGTCGTTAATCCGGACTCGTCGGGACTTCGGCGATTCCGGATTATAGATCATCAGTTTAAATCTGGTAAGATGGTATGCAGAAATTATAAAATTAAAAATATGAAACCATAATTTATGAAATAAAGAACAATTATGATCTAAAGGGTATCAAAATTTACAAAAAGAAAAAGCTTAATATTTATTTGTTTACTTTATTAAACATTTCTTTCAATGTAAGCTGTTTAAGTTGCTTCGTTTCAGGTGATAACACTTTCTCTTTAATTCTATTAACCAGACATAATTTCTTGTTTAGTTACAAAGTTCCGCCGTTCAAGTCCTATAATTGCTATGTCGAGAATACCGACTAATTTGTCAATCGAAATTTTTTCGTTTTCAATAAACACTGTGTCACTTTCTTCACTATCGGAAGTGAATTATAATGACGAAAGAACTTTATTTAAATCATATCAAAGACGGAGTACATCGAGATGAAATACTACATTTAGTATGGAATTATAAGCCAAATAAAATAAAAATATCTGCCCTGAAGATAAGGATAGTGCTGACAGATCAACTTCCAATTCATTGGGCGCTGTGTCGTTTCTTTCCCCCGCAGAACAGCGTGAAATTGATAAACATATTTCGGAATAATTAGATAATCAAACGACATGCCTTTATCCATTTTTTGCAGAAATTCCACTTTCTGTTTAATGGACTTCGAAACATACTTTTGCTTTGTAGATGCTTTACATATTAGTAAATATATATCGGAAATTCTATTTGAAAGTTCAAGCTTACTTTTATAAAATTGCTCTAACAGTCTGCAAAAAAATAATAAGTGGGATCCAATTCAAAGATCAAGGAACAACGCAATCTGCAACATTAACTGAATTATATAATTTTAGCCTAGCTTATACCATCCGTTATACATTAAAAGCGCATGCGTAAACGTATTATGAGCATGCGCACACGCATATTCGCAGCCTTAAAGGTCTTACGCGCATGCGTCAACGCGACGCAGGCGCAGAAAGTTTGTAGCATTGAGGTCTGGATTATAGATCATTCCGGATTATGGGTGTCCGAATTAACGACTTTTGACTGTAGATGATTTATTAATTTCCTTCACTGCAGAAAAGTTTCAGAAGTACATATGTTAAAATTGTATATAATAATAATAATAATAAAAAAAAAATTAAGATTTGTCTATAGGAGTTGTTGGAATTTTAAATACAACAAAAAGAACTCGTACAAAAATGGTTACACTGCCTTATAAAACGGAAGAATTATTATATGCAGAGTTTCCAGAATTTGGCATATTCTGAAAAGTTCACCAATTCATATTAAAATGGTTTCACTAATACATAGTATGAAAAGAATATATACAGACAGAAACAAAAATATTATGTTTATTTATTCATTTATTATTCTTTTTTGAAAGAGTTTTTAAAATAGTTTTGTTAAGTAAAATATACACAGCTTTTATGCTAATTAAAATTTGTAAAAAACTTAACAAATATAAAGCAAATAATTTTTTTAAAAAAAAACATACCTGGATTTCAATATGCCTTGGATTATCAACAAACTTCTCAACAAGCAATCGATCATCACCAAAACTAGATTTTGCTTCTTGAGAAGAGAAACGAAAACCTTCCCTAAAATGAGAATACTGAATGTATGAGTAATAAAACTTAAATCTATAATCAATATAATATAATTTAGTAAACTGTAACATTATACAAAAATATGAAATTAAAAAGAACAAATATAAAAAATAAATAAACAGCAACACATACTGAGTGTGACTAAAATAATGCTATTTGATATCTTTTTCAATACTCCATAGTTTTAAATTTCCAAAGTTCTCTAGAACAGCTTACAAATACAGTACAAAGTCTGAAATCCAGATGTCCAATATTTGGACCTCTGGATCACTAGTAATTTTTTTTTCTTACAAAGTCTCGTATTATATATAATAAGAATTAGACAAGAACATAATATTCAAGAAAAAACAGCTATGCCATGAAAGTGATTTTTCTCCTGATTACCTGTAATTTTTCTGTCACTTTTAAAAACCTGCTGTCTAGAGAATCATATTGTGGCTAATGAAAGTAAATTAATTGAAATTGTACTGATATTCATCATGACCACTTTCAGTTCTTGAGTTTCTGGTGGGATTAACATTTTTCTTAAGCAATAAATAAAGCACCAAGACATACTAACTTGAAGAGAAGGATGTCACTCATACCGGTTTTCTTTTGTTTGCATAGCAGTAGGGAAGGGAGAAAGATTCTCAGGAACCTCAGTTAACATAGCCCTTTTACCTTTCTGATATGAAGCAGGTTATTATTTTGTCTCTCTTATTATTAATCGTATCAAAATTGTTTTAGAAAATCACATCTACAATTTACTTCTCTGAAATTGTACATCCAATCAATAATGAAATTTGAGTGCATTGAAATGCAGATATTAAGTAGAATTTTAGAAATTGATGCTCAATTAAGATTATCCAAGAATTGTAAAAACATTTCAATATAAAATGTGATGTGTGAAGCATTGCAAGATCATGATAGATTGCGCTTGCAGATATTTGAAAAAAATGCTTGGCATGATTTATAGCCAGCAACCAAATTTCATGATGAAGAAGAGAAGTGCTATGAAGGCCATCACAAGAAAAGTGAAATTTTCCAATTAAAGGAATAAGGTAAATGCTGCATGAAGATGATATAAGTCATACATTGCAATGAAAATTGTTCAATCATGAATAATTTAATGAGAAATTGAACTATGATCTACTGTCTGACCACAGTCTTCATGCTAAACACACTGACTTCTGCCATTAATGAACTGATGCTCTTACTTCAGTAAGTTTTGGATAACAAGTTTTATTTTATTTATGTTCCTCTTATGTTTATAAAAGCATCAGTTTCTGAAAATGCAAGAAATATTCCAAAATATAATATGCAGGAAAAAAATAATAATAACTGAATACAAATACATACGTGGCATCTTTATCATTCCATGCAATCCTCATGCCTTTTCCACCACCACCAGCAGATGCTTTGATCATAACTGGATAGCCTATGATAAATTTAAAATCTTAAATAACTAAAAAATATTAAAAACAATTTTACTACGAGGCATTCTTTTATGCATGAGTTACGTAAAATATTTTCAGTTATTTATTCTGATGCAAAACACTTAAAAGGGCTAAAAGCTATGAAAATCACTAACAGCATTTATTTTTTAAAAATGCAGAAGTAACGAAAAAAATGAACTTTGTCTAAAAATTCCTGCCTTTAAGATTACATAATGTTGTGTATAAACAGATAATTAAAAAAAAAAGGAAAATATTTACATTAACTGATTAAAAAAATTACAGCCGTTTTCTGCTTTGAAGAACACAGAAACAAAATATGTTTTTTTAATTCAACAACAGAAATTATATAAATTTGAACTATCCAATTTTAAAATCACAGAATTATACATGTAACTTTTTGATTGCAGTTCAGAACCATATATCAATTTTACAAAAAGTGAAAATGAAAGTGACAAAAATTTTCTGAGCCCTTATTTGAACATTTCAAGTAAAAGATAAGTTGGATTATTTACAACAGTAAAACATATAAAACCAAAAGATGCAGCTTTCTCAGCTTAATTTTTTATTTTCCTTCAATAAGTTCATTCATGTTTACATAACGATTAGGAAAATTCAACCTAAGATACACTTTCAAAGTTCAATGATTTCCAGTCTTCACTGTTTGACAATCAAATGAAAAAATGAATTATTTACAGTTTTACTTTTTAAATGTACAATATTCTTGAATTTATCGCAAGAAATCATTCTGTATCTTTGAAGTCATAGATTATATTAAAAACTGTATAAAATGCCAAATGTTTACAAAAGTATTAATATACTTTTGTAAGCAATATAGATTTGTTCCAAACATGTAACATTTAAATTAAACCAATTTTAACTAAATTTCAAAATCAACATCTACATAACAATTATTAATATAAAATACTATCATCATGTATTTTTTATCACAAGAAGAGCAATCGCTTTTCATTTGCAGGCGCAACCTATCATGATCTTTTTTATTGACCTTAAGTGACACTATGTAGGAAAATAATATTTTATCAATTTTTATTAGCAAAGGATTTAGTTATCTACAGCATTTAAGAATTCTGAAGAACTTATGATATAACTGAAGAAGACAATAAGACAAAGTGCAATTGCTAGTTTGAAAATGAGAACCAAATAATTTTGTATCTACTTCAAGTGGTACATATAATCATTCAAACATATCAAAGCTAAAAGTAAAACTATGTTTTCCAACTTCTGGTATAATTTTCTTTTTTAAAACTTTCTTTCTTTCAAGTGCCACATTGAATTAGCAAAATAATTTACTAGAAGTCATCTTCACACTGCATTGATAATATTTTTAAAATTAAACCAATGTTATTTATGCTGAGTTCCATTCAGAAAAAGATATGTCCATCCCTTCCTCAAGCATATTTAATTTTCCCAAATTACATTATGAATAAGTTTTATTTATTTTGAATTTTCTTAAATATGTAAAGAATAAGTAATTACACAATACTGACATTTAAATAATAGTTACCTATTTCTTGAGCAATCTTCACACATTCTTCAGGAGACTGAATAAATATTTTGAAAATAATTAGTTGTTTCCACATTAGCCATACATATTAATTCAAACAAATGATGAAAAAAGAGACGATTTTATGTAGAAATTTACACAAAAGCCTTAGCGCAATAAATTAAAATAAAACACAATATCATTATTAGTAAATTCTTACATTAACAACACCATCAAATCCAGGAATTGTATTCACTCGAGCCTGCTTTGCTATTCTTTTGCTTTCAATTTTATCACCCATGGCAGAAATTGACTTCCAGTTAGGACCAATAAACACAATGCCCATTTTCTCCTAAAATTATTAAAAAATTATATCATTGAAATAAAACTCACAAAAATATCAGCATGCCTGAATTACTAAAAATTCCAACCTATCACGCATTTTGAAATCTTAACTTTTAGATAATTACCTTTAAGCGAAATTCATCAATGATTTCGATGGACTTATATTGGAATTAATTTGTCAATACTGGCTTGGTTTGTTTTTTTAAATTATGACTGAGATCAAAATGCTTCAGTGCCCATTTTATAAATTTTTTTTAAATGAATCTACAGAAAAATCTCAAATTTATACTTTTGGACGTAAAAGAGATATGGAAAGCTATAATTAATGGACAGAATCAAATTGCACTGGAATATATTAAACCACGGCTTGTCAATATATTTTGAGTATGAAATGCCATAACAAACATGGGGGTAGAAATACATGAATCAGATATCATGCCCAAAATTTTAGGCCATGAATGAGTCAGCTTTCATCTGACTCTCTCGTTCTTTCTACTATTTTATTAGCTTTTGCCCACTCCCAGGGTGCTATAGACATTGATGACACTCTCCACAGTATTCTTGATATTATTTTAATTTAAAGTGATAAAATGTTTGCTGTCTTGCTGATGGATGGATGTTCAGAAAGAACTGATGCATCAAAGAATAAAAATCTAAACTTTTATAAGTGCAATATCTTTATACAGAAAATAATTAAAAATTTCATTTGCATTTTTTCTGCTTTCTGTTATGTTAAAATTCTCTAGGTTTATTAAATCGGTTTAAAAATACAGAATCAACTGTTAAGTTTACAAGAATTATAAAAAGCTTATTTGATGTCTTAAACAGCCAATAAGTTATGGAAAAAGCCTATACATAGTGAACAATTCACAAACTGTTGAATACATGGATTGCTGTCAAGGAATCCCAAACAACATTGCTGGTTTTATCATTAGAAATTTAGATGCTAAACTGTGAACAATGCGTTTTAGCTGTTTTCGCTAATGGAGATGTCAACTTTCATTCGTTAATCATGCAAAACAATGCAGGCTTAGTTTTTGTATTGAATGCTGCTTTATATGTATGCAAAGGAATGGATAAAGCTTTACAAAAATGCATGGATTTAAATAACCAAAAACTGACACCCACTAAAACTGTTGGTAGATTATTTTCAGCTGTATCAGAACACTTTACTGGAAGAAATATCTTTGTTATTTTGCCATACGTTAGAACAAAATTCATCTGAAAACTATGTTCTGCACTTAATTTGAGCAGTAGTAAACATTATTAGCTAAGGATCAGAAGCATGTATTAGTACAGTACAAAGTCCGAAATCTGGAATGATCTAAAATACGGACCTCAAAGCCACAAACATTTTTTTTATTAATGCTTTACGCATGCACATTTGATTTTTCCTTCCATAATAAAACATGTGGAGATTTTCACTTAAAAATTCCGATTCGTAATTTCACTTAGGCACTAAATAAAATACCTCGTTATGGAAAAACAATCATGTAAGCATAAATTTGTGAGTTAATAATTTGGCTCCGTACCCGAGTATCTACTTGGCATACATCTCAAACCGAAACATTCAACTGTTTTATATCCCTGATGCCGACCTGGAGAGTCATTATTTATTATATTTTGCTTTCATCACCGCATGTTAATCAATACATGACAGCTTCAGTAATAACTAATGCTGTGATGTCTAAACTTTTTTTTAATTAGTAATTGAATAATAACCTTTTACGCTAACATTACGCTTGGCGATGATAATAGATTTTTAAATGCTCTAAGAAATGTTAAAGAGGAAAAATTCAACAAAAATCTCTTTTCATATGCTAAAAATGGATTTTGTTAATGAAACTCATAGGCTAAAAGATTACATTTAATGCTATTTTAATTACGAATAACTGATATGTTATTCCCCATAAACCTGGAAGCGGCGACAGAATATATCAGTACCGGACAGCAGAATTTAGAGGGACTGAATTTTTGGAATTTTGGGAAGCATCGAGTGGCAAAATTAAGGGATGAGAAGTTTTTATGATTTGGGGAAAGCACTGGGATCCAAAGTTTAGAACTTAGGAAAGCACTTTGTAGCAGAATTTAGGACCCATAGAGACTGCACCAGGCGGTATCAAGCGCCGGCCTTGATAAAGCCTTAAGTATATGTGGGAGTTTATTTATTCAGGACTCGGATTAGTTTGAAGCATGTACAAGAAATAAACACAGGTACAGTAAATAACTAAACTAATACAATTCAGGCTTAATTCAGTACGTAATCGGAGCAAGACAAAATTTAGCGAAACAACTTGGCTTTTGTCGCCAATCTTGTGATACACAGCCAATAATGTATAACAGACGCTATTAAGCTAAGCTAAAATTATCTTTACTGATTCTAAGGCATTTCAATTAATGTAGCAGACTGTGCTGCTTCCTGATCTTCTAATTTGATCCAGCTTATTATTTTTTGCAGACTGTTATTATTACGGCAATTTTATAAAAACTAAGCTTGAACTTTTGATTCTGTTGAAAAGAGTTTCCAATTCTGGAGTTGTCAAAGGATCTACAAAGCGAAACCATGTTTCGATGTCCATTACGCAAAAAGTGGAATTGCTGCAAAAAATAGATAAAGGCATATCCGTCTCAAAATTATGTGAGAAGTATGCCATTGGAAAGTCCACTGTATATCACAAAAAAAAAAAAAAAAAGGAACTTTTTGAAGAAGCATCTTAAACAACTTACATTGAAAGAAATGTTTAATAAAGTAAACAAATAAATGGGGAAAGTGCAGAATCGCCCAATGCTTGGCGCGTTTTTAAGAATTGCACATACTCAGTATCCATGTACACGTCGACCTATTTTCACTTAAAAAAACATCCCAGAATTGTACAAAAATGGCATTGCACACTCCCTTGACTTTATCCATGTATACATCGACCTATTTTCACTTTAAAAGTCAAAGAAAAATGACAAAAATCCAATTCTTCTCACTCTTGTAAAAAGCGCCAAACAAATAAGTGCACCTTAGCCAAATAAATATTAAGCTTTTTTTGTAAATTTTGATACCCTTTAGATCATAATTGTCTTTTATTTCATAAATTATGATTTCCTATTTTTAATTGTATAATTTCTGCATGTCATCTTACCAGATTTAAATTCATGATCTATTATCCGGAAAAAATCACAAATCGCTGAAGTCGCGACCAGTCCGGATTTTGGACTTTGTACTGTATAACAAAGTATTGGGAAAGTTACATTTAAAAAAAAAAAAAAATAAGATATATATATTTAATAAAATAGCTCTGTTTAAAGTTCTGATTTGAACAATGGAACTTTAACTGAACAAGAAATTATGCCTATCTATAAAATTTAAGAGAAAGTATTAGTAGAAAAATCAGACTGCTTAAGCAACGTACAGTGAAAGTAATGCTTAATAAAACAATCAAATATATATTGAGGGTTTTTTTTTTTTTTTTGGTACATTTTGATTTCCTTAAAGTCGAAAATGCTTCGTAGTCTATGAACAACTACTTCTTATTTTTAATTTTACAATTTCTATGTGTCATCTTAACAGATTTAAACTGGTATCTAAAATCTGAAACCGTCGAAATCCTGATTATGAATCTCGGACTTATGCTTTAATAAGGCATCTTTAACCATTTATGCTCTATTTTAAGAAATGCCCATTGTAGAGACATTAAGATTATTTTGAAGCATGAGACATAAAAAATTAGCAATGTCCTCGCCGGGACTTGAATCATGGACCTCTCGAACATGCACCGAGCATACTGACCACTACACCACAAAGGCATGCTAGGAAGGCGGAAGAAATACCTTATACCAGTTGTTCTCAATCTTTTGCCTAATGGGTACCATCTAAACAAAAATTGAAAACTTCTAGTACCACCATTATTTTCCAATGATTTATTTTTCAATTTCTCAATAGAAATATTAAACAAATATATATATTTTGCCATTTGCACAGCCTTTTCGCTATTTGTATTAAAGATGCATTCATGAAAAATATTAGATTAAAAATTTTATACCATTTTAATTATCTTTAAGATTTTAATTTAAGTTATAATACTTTAAATATAAAATTTAGTGCGAAATTTGGGCGTGCTTAAGAGAGATCAGTTTCTTTATATCTGGTCTTTTTTCACTTAGCTTTAACCGTAAATTAGGACCCAATTTTAATTTGGTTCTGTGTTTACCTTTTAAATATGGCATGGAAGAAAATCTTTACTAACACAAATAGGTTGTGCAAAAAAACAATAAAAATTGAATAGCTTTATTTAAAACACCTTTAAATTCTTTTTTTTTTTTTTTTGATTCAGCCAAAGTTTGAAAGTTTTTTTTTTTTTTTTTAAAATCTTCAGTTAATTTTATCCCAGGAAATTTCTATCAATTGTTCTTTTTCTTCACGAGATAAAATTTCAGGTATTTTTGGACAAAATTGATTTCTAATCAAATTTTCACTTTCATAATCCTTGGGAAAGTATGTGCTCAAAATTATTTATCAATGAAAATAATGATTTTTAATGTTAGATGTTAATTCTTCTTTTATTTCCTAATTTGTTTCTGTTAGAAAACTTTCTAAATGTGGTGAAAAGCTCAAAATATTATTATCCGATTCTTTGATTATTAGCTCGAGTTTTTTTTATAATTGCATTAATTTTATTTCTAATGGTAAACAAATGAACACTTTGCCCTTGTAAACCCAAATTTATCTCATTTAACTTTCCATAAATATCAGCGAAATATGTTAAAATGCACCAAACATAATTCACTAAATAAACAATTTTATGTAAATCATCACTTTTCTCCTTAGTCAACCCTAGGCATTTTTCCATTTTGAAAAATCTAGGTTTGTTTTATTATTTTTTCACAAATATTTAAATGCCCAATATATTAAGAGTTTTTCAAAAACAGATGACGATATTCTCAAATAGCCTAGAAAAGTAAGGAATACAAAGCTACAAGAAGACAAAATACCTGCTGTTAGAGACAGAAAATCGACGTAAAAAATTATTCTAATAGGGCAATTTGAGCCTGGAAATGGTGGCTATGTAAAGTGTAGGCATGCTAATAAATTGAACAACTTTAAAAGAATTAATGAGTTAGTATTACTTTTTTATAGAAACTTATTTTTATTTCCCATTAAATACAACATCCATTTCTATTACTCCTTTTAGAAACATAATTTATGACAAATTTTGTTACATCTATAGGTTGCTCAGATCGCATAAATTTAGGTGTTAGAGAAAAAATTTTAACAGGATGTTGGAGTATTTAATTTTTGAATGTAATAGTTCAAAATACTTTGTTCCTTTGCATACCATCAGTGGTACGCATACCACCACTGCCTTATACAATTTTAAATCAAATGCTTCAAATATTCATTTATTTAAAAAAATACAAAATTTAAATATATACAATTTTTATTTAAAGTAACACTTAATTTAAGATCAAAAATGAAAAACAAACCAATTTCTGAGCAAAATCCATGTTTTCAGATAAAAAACCATATCCAGGATGAACCTGAAATTTACATATAGCTTAAGATAAACTGTTATCTTCAAACCAAAATGCAAAATGTGCAAATATAATAGAGACATAAACAGTAAATAATGAAAAAAAATTTAAAATCATAAAACTAGTCTAACTTACAGCTTGAGTTGAGCTTATTTGTATTGCTTCTAAAATAGCATCTACATTCAGATAGCTTTTACTGGTTGGAGCAGGACCCAAACAATAAGCTTCATCAGCCATTTTCACATGGAGCTAAGAACAATATAAATCAATATTTCAGAAAACAAACAATTAAATGTGGAATTCTTATTACATTTTTATTATTTTTTCTACTGATGAAATTAAATATAAACTATTCATCTCATTGAAAGCAAGTTCAATACCACTGAAAATCGTGCAAAACAATAAGGAGTATTTGAAGTAAAAGGTGCAATGCTAAACCAAATTATCTTCTTAACTATATAATACACATGTATGCATTATAGTATGCATATGTTATACACACACACGCACACACACACACATATATATATATATGATATAAAATATGAAAGAAAATTACTAACTTAATTGGCAATAACCCTCTTAATTAATTTTTAATTTGGCTACATTCCCATTCTGGGATCTGTACTGCATAACTTACATCATTAATTTCATCTGCAATGTGAAGGATGTTATCCAATCACCATTCAAAACTGAAATAATAGAGCCTAGTTTATACAGAGTGATTCTAAATTGTGTTTACAAATTAAGAGGAGTGATAGTATTCATCCAGATGAGCATTCCAACCTGAACTTGGGAGAGCGAATGAATGAGACCAAAAGTTGCACAATCAACTTAGTGTGAAACTCACAGAGGATGCACAAAACGGATAAAACTGTTCGAGTGTTAATTCGAGGTCAGACTTTGAAGGCAAACTCTCAAATGCACATCTTAGGTTTGCAAGGTCTCAACCTCAGTTGCAATAAGTTAATTATCTAATCAAGGGCTGAATATTATCAACTAACTCCCATTCAAGGTAGGTATGATAGTATCAAGGTAGCAGTTTTTGTCCCCCTCACCATATTATATCCTGTCCTCCTGGACTTACTGTATTGTGCTCATTCTACTTGAAGCGTCTTCTGACAGCCAGATCACAGCATGAACGTTTCATTCTAATCTCGGCATACATTGGAAGTTGGGGTTAGTAAATAATATTCAGCCCATGATTTGATAATTAACTTGTTGCAATCGTTTGTGAGGTTGAGATATTGCGAACCAAAGATGTGCATTTGAGTGTTTGCCATCGAAGTCTGAGCTCGAATTTACACTCAAATGCCAAGTTTTTGGTTTTATCCATTTTGTGCACTCTCTGATTCACTAACTGATTGTGCAACTTTTGGTCTTGTTCATTCACTCTCCCAACACTGTTGTAAGCTCAGGTTGAAATTTCAATGTTCCTCTTTTCTGCCTCTAGTGGAATCAGTGGAATGCAACCCTATGTTCTACGGTAATTATTGCTCATCTGGATGAATACTATCACCCCTCTTCATTTATAAAAATAATTTAGAATCATCCTGTATATACCCCAGCTGCAGAATACACATGCTCTTCTCTCCTCTACTCATTCTTATATTATACACTGTGGGCTTATAGCACCTATAGCATTGTGTAAATCAAAAAGAGATGTCCTAAGAAATTAATGATGTGTGACTAAACATATTTATCAAGAATGTCCAGGAAAAAATTAAGTGTTGAAATAGGCATGTTTGTTTGCAAGTCCATCATTTTATTTATGGAATGGTTCAAGTTATCTTCCAACATCAAATTATCTACAGATTAAATCGTTGTGCATGCATACACACATACATATGCATAATGTAAATTATTATTCTAGTAATTTTAATATAGAAATAATTTTGTCATCAAATTGCTACCAATTTATGCTTAATAAACAGTAAAAATTTAAAAGAGTGCAACATTTAATAAAAAATCTTTTTAATTAGAAAGCACTTTCATATTTTAATAAGATTGTAACTGATTTTGAAAAGCTATCTTGCAATTAGTGAAAATATATTTAATTCCAAGTTTATCACTGGAAAAGAAGACTTATTTGCACTGAAGCATTTTTACATGAAAGCATTAATGATGTAATCCTGTTACTAGTAAATGGCCTCATGTTCAGATGGTTAATTATATGATATTAATTATCAGATGGTAAATTATTTACATTAACTTCAAGTTAAATCTTAATTTGGAATACAAGATTAAATGCACGATTATTTCAATTCATACAAACAGCTTACTCAGAAATTATGTAAAACCGCAGTGCTTTACTTCGTTAATGCATTGTCATTAGAATTGATGAATTTAACATTTGATCTTGCCTTTTCTATATTTTCGCCTTTGGGTGAGCAATGTGATTCCATTCTAATTGACTTAATTACCACGAATGGTCTTAGGCCATAAAATTTAACTATCTTGTAAAAATTCTACGTAATTGTATGTCAGTATTGAAAGGAACAATCAATCTGATAAGAAATGGCTGCAACTTGTTTTGAAAATGAGGCGTAAAAGGTTATCAGCGAAGATATTCCATTTGGCATCAGTCGTACCATTATAGGCAACTTTATCTTTGGGCTGGCAAAACAGAAAAGTACCGAATTCTTTTAGTTTCACGGTGTAATATAGCATTTAAAGCTATTTGACATGGGCTTTATCTCAAGGTCACATTCTCTGACACCATCATAAACATGTTTTCATACCATTAACTATTAACCACCCTCTTCACCACCACAGCACTAAAGCTACAAAATGTAAGCAGCAGAGTGGGCATGATTTTTCTTGCTGATGACCTCTAGAAATGATTAAAATCAGCACTACAGTACAACATTCAATCATATGGACACTAGGGCTCACAGTCCTGCTCATATAAGGCTCAATAGCTACAACAAAGTACATCTTTCAATACTCAGACACTTGTGTATATGCTAGTTTTTGTGAGAAATTTATCTCATCTTAACTTTGACTTGGAGAGACCATGCATACATTTCCTCATAGAAGAGACCATTATGGTGAATTGCCGGTATAATAATTTTTAGCTCAAGTCTGTGAGTAATTATTATGAGCATCGTATATGTAATATATAATATATGATGGGTGAAAAACACATGACACAGAACCATGAGGGAAAAACATGAGTTAAAAACCATCTGAGGGTACAAATCTACAAGTGAAAAAATTAAGGGGGAATTTTTTTTTTTAACTACAACAAATAATGTAGCAGTGAAACATAGTGCAGTAACCAGTGTTGGCACTGAATCAAGGAGATTAGTCCCATGAGAGTGGTCACTTTCCCAAATACTGATGCTGGAGAATGTTGTTTGATTTTCACTCTCCTAGATTTATATATAATTCATTTTGCCATTGTGTCCCTGTGAACGATGGCAGAAAATTAGAAAATGTACAGGTGATGAAATGCTTTAAAGTTTATAATAAAACCAAATAATAAACACAGACACATTTTGAAACCAAAATGCACAAATTAATTCATAACAATATTTCAATACTACATTCTAAGATGCTAAAGAAGGGATCGTTAAGTGACTCATAACCAATCAATATTTACTCAGAAAGAGAGCTAACAGCTGTACAGACTCAAATCTCCAGTCAAACAATCTTGGTTCTACATCCACATATCTGTGATAACATTTGAAACCACAGCTTTGCACTAAACCACAATCCTAACCAAGAGATGGTGCTATTACAGCAGCAGAAATTTAGAGTAACATGACTAGGGGCAATGTGATATTATAATTACAAGAAGGGAATATACACAACTACGAACATCCATGTCTTCTCTAGGATTTCAACTCAGTCCCTAGGCCAGGGTTTCTCAAACTTATGGTACATGTATCACTAATGGTACCACCTTGCCAATGGGGTGCCCGTGTGATAAAATACTGCTATGGGTTAAAAATTTTGAAAAAAAAAAAAAAAAAAAAATTACACATGTAATTAATTGAATATTTTACCTAGAGAGGAATACATAAATTTTATTATCAACTGCTGTGATGATCTGTTTATGAAAAAACTTGTAATGATTTTTACAATGGATTCAGTTTTCAAAACTTTTCCATAAAATGTAATGACTGATTTTTATATTTTGAATCACGTCTTGATCTAAATTGTAAAACATTCTAGGCAGAGATAAAATTGACTTCATAGTAATATATGCAACACACTTCTATAACTGATAACTTAATTCTGTGAAAGATTTAATTCTATAACATTTCATCTTTAAATACCCATACTTAACAGGAAAAAAAATACAGATTACTAAACAAGCAAAGTAGATTTTTGGTTCATATACATAGATAGTAGAACACCATGAACTTAATGTAATGTAGACTGAGTAGATGGTAAGTAACCAAAATGATGATTTTTATAGAATCCAAGGTAAACATATCATAATACAATGCTAAAAACTAATCTTTTAAAATTACACACACTTAAAATGCTTTATTAGAAATTCATTTGTTAAGAACCTTTAATGCATAAAGAATGAATGATAACATATAATGTAGCAAAAAGCATTTAGCGTGTTATAAAAGAAAGATATAAAAAATTCTATGTTTACAAACCAAATACTTAGATCCTTCTGGGGAGTAAAGTTTGGTAATACATTTTTCTCTTTCTTCTCACTGCTTTACAACATATGCAATGCAGAAAAACAATAGCCATTGCAAAAACGTCTTGTTCCTTGAAATAATGCAGGTTTTTCTGAATAGCCTTCAGTTCTTATTATGTATCACTATCTCAAGTCTACCATCATTTTCAAGTTCTTTATTTTTTTTTTCCTACATATACAGTAATCTGACTACCTTCTAGAAAATTGAGTATTTTCATTTTGTCTATCTATTTGTCAAAATCACAATCAGGTGTTTCTCCTTGCAGTCTGAAATCTTCATTAAGTCTATTAGCCTAAGAGACTTATTTTATGAATTATTAAACAAGTTTCTTCATGAATGAACAAAGGTTATAAGCTGAATCCCATCTCAAAGTTTCATTAACCTCCTCCAAGCAGCCTATATATCTATTTTCTTTAATTTTTCAATAATATTTTGCCCTTTCTCAAACATGAGACCAATAATGACGAAAGTTTACGTTTTTACTTTTACTTCAGTGCTATAAGAATGTCCTGACCCATCGGCTGATGCCCCACCAGTGGCTGAATGGTTAAGACTATTAATACTAGTAGTTTGAACTGGTTT